TAGAGAGAGGCCGATTGCTAGAAAGTTAAAATGTAAAATAATAAGCAGAAATACAGACACGTTATGAGGTAACAGAAAGGACTGACTTTCTCTTGGTGCAGCGTTGTGTAGATAATCCTTTGGCTTCAACAGACACATTTTTGAGGGATAACTGACTCATGGTCTCAGGACATTCCACAAAGAAGAACACATCTCACAGATGATTTTCAATTTAAATTTGACTTCAAGAGAAATCTGAAGAAGTAGAATGACGTGAACTCTGTGATAATTAAGACCTGAGCTTCAAAGGGCTTTGGTGGCCAGTTACGGGTCATGGTGATGGAGGAGGGGAATTACCGGTAAAACCAGGTCTGTACCGCTGCCCAGGAAGTGTCCCTTGATGGTGACGTTTCCTGGCATTGGTCCTTTCCATAACTTTCCAGTTGTCAGGAGTTACAAAGACAGTAATTAGGGACTCTGCTCACACAGTGATCGGCCTGTGCCAGGCACTCTCTGTATACTAATTCATTGAATCTTCCCAACGGCCTGTATTCTAGAACAGTGCACGATAATAGAAGATGCTTAACAAGCATTTGTTGAATGAATAGGTACTTTTAGTAACATCCCATTTCATACATGAGGACAAAGAGACACAGAGATTAAATACATTGTCCAAAGCTACCTAGTTAGCAAGAGCTGGTAATGGGACCCGGGTGGTTCAGTGTTCAAGTCCAGACTTTTAGATTCTGATCTCAGTGATTGTATTTCAAAAATGTGTTGTATCAGACAGTAATAAAACCATGAGTCAGACTGCTCTGTCATTTAGAATTAAAGAGATGGATGGTTAAAGCAAGAATACGTCTTTGTTTGAAGCTTGGAAAATGGGATTAGCTGAGTTAAAAGATGGAAAATACACAACGCAAAGAAAGGCTTTTTTCTTTAAATCTTGGAAGGTTGAGCAGAGTGACTGCCCTCTGGTTCTTCACTCATCAGCGTAGTCCGCGCTGACCAATGCAGTAATGATGGCAGTAGCCACGCCCATTTATTGAGGATGCTAAGTGCTTTACTAACTCACTCAAGGTAGGAACTATTATTACCCTCTTCTCCCTTTTTTGGTGACCAAACTGGGTTCTAGACAAGTTAAATGAGCTGCGTAAAGTCAGACTATATGGTGGGAATCCAGAATTCATGCTTTGACAGCTAGACCCACCTGTGTCCTTGCCACATGGTTAATCCCCAGAAAAGAAAAGAGTGTTTTGAGCTCTGTAGGGCTGACATAGAGACCTTGCATCATCCTGTTAGGGAGGGCTCCCCCCTGGAAATGACCTCTGAGCGCAGAGCTATCCAGTGAGTTTTTAGTCTGCATCGCTCCGAGAGCTCCACCTTTGTTGAATTTGGGAAACCAGACAAGGCTGAAAAGAGTCAGCAAAAAGCAGGCAAATTAAAATTCCACTCAGGCATCTACGGTGTGCCTTGAAACCAGAATGATTGCGTCAGAGCCCTTCCCCCATCGGTGTGGCTGCACCCGACTCCACGGCAATTGGACCAATGGGCTTTGGTGTCTGTTAGGACTCAGGAGACTCATTCGTGTGGACTGGTCTCGAGGCCTCTGCCAGGCCTGTGTGGAGACCGTGCTAGGTGCCAGCTCCTTCATCACGCCTTCAGTGTGTGTTGCCTCATGTGTCCCTTTAAGAACCCTGATAGGGAGATGTCAATTCTCCCCTTTTACAGATGAGGGGCCTAAGCCTCAGAGACGCTGAGTAGCTGATCTGAAGCCACACCACAAGTACCTGAGGGAGCTAGACTCTGCGCCCTGACCTGCCTGGCTCTGCCCTCCCTGCCTTTCACCTCCGGCTCTATGATGCTTGGAATTTAGTGTCTGGGCAGGGTTCTGGGCTGCGGTCACCATTCTCTGTTCCTACACAGCCTTTATTGTGCATTTTGAAGGCTGCTTTTAGAAAATGACAAGAGCCACAAAAAGAAGTGAGTTTTTCTTGGGATATGTGTATAAGGATTATCAATAATACAATAATATATTGGATGCTTAGTACACATTGGACATATCACATCTTACATAAACCCCTTTACACTCCTGTGGGGCTATAGGAAGACCTCATTTAAGAAGCAGTTTTGGGGGTTGTTAAGCTCATATGACCTGAATTAGAACATCTGGGTTGAAATTATGACTTTGTCCTTATTAGCTCTGAGACCACTGGAGGGCAAAAAAAGTGTTACTCGTCTGGCCTCTATATTACCACAACAGAATTTGCCTCAAAGACTTGCGATGATTCAGTGAATTCATGTATGTGAAATCCATAGTAAGCAGTCAGTGAAAAGATAGATATTGTAAATTTCAAGTTTTGGAAACTGAGATGAAGTTTAAAGGCACAGAACAAGGGGCAGGGGAAGCGTTGAATGTCCCAAGCCAATGTTCACCACCCAGCCTGGGAGATATCCTTGAAGCAAGGCCCCAGGGGGTCCATTCCTACATAGAGTTCATCCATTTCCTGTTCATTTACCAAACCAAACCAAGCAAGCCAACACGCTCCAGGTATCCTGGCTGTCAGCATCTTCTGTTCTTACTCCGGCGTAGATCAATTTGTATGAAATCAAAAAGGAAACACAATGTAAGTGCCCTAGTTTGGGGTTCATCATTTAACGAGCGGAGAGGGCATCGCTGTGGAGTTGGAAGCGGAGTCCTTCACTGGCACCTTGTAAATCTCACACCCTCGGGGCTCCAGGGAGAGCTTGTAAAACTCTCCAGGACACACGCTATTAATTTAATCGTGTGGTCATTCAGACCGGACTGTACCAGCTAAGCAAGCCAGGTTCACTGCAGTAAGAAAGGAAAGATCATTTAAAGGATGTCACTGAAACCCTTCGCATGAAGGTCAAACACTGACAAGTTAAAACTATTTTCAAGCATCGTCGATCACTTTGGATGCAGTATATGTAAATAGTTTATTTATGTCTGTGAACCAGTCCCCTGAGGGTCTGGACTAGCAGATTCTATTCATGCCAGCAGGTAATTCTGGAAAACCCTTGACAAGTAACCTGGCTTTGTGTGCAGGGATTTTCATGGAAATGAGACACGGACCTGTCCTCCTGGAAGCTCTAGGCTGCAGAGAAGACAGAAAATAGATAGCTGATTACATAAACAGTGATGTAATGGTAATTGTGATGAAAATGTTGAAAGGGCAAATGGGATAAGGGATCACAAGAGAGAGGGACAAGAGTGGGTAGGTGACATCCATGGGGGCCATTGTAGAAACTCAACTGAGGAGAGCCTGAGTATTTTAGCTCCTTTGTTCAATGATGCTGTAGGTATGGAGGGTGTGGGAACTTAGAGATCAGAATAAATTATAGCAATAATTACATTCATATATACTTATCTATCTGTGATACGTAATTTATGATACAATTAGCAATTATATTAATGTTTATGTTAATGCAATTAACAGTTATTTAAGCATGGGCATGATAAGAACCCGAGATATTAAGAACTCTGCTCAGTGTTCTAGAAATTAACATTCCATTTCTTTGAAAATCATTTCTTATATCATATACACATGAATATGTTCTGCTTCTCTACCTTTTTCCTACAATTTGTTCAAAAGTCTGAAGTTTTATTGTTTGCTCTCTAATGTGTATAATTTTATAGCATGTGCTAGTTTGTGGAGATTCTATCAACACTGAAGTGAAAGAACCCGCTTGTCAATGTCACATAAGTTTTGGGCTAAGTGTAGTGTTTCTGCTAACCCAACATCTTCAGATATTAACTGTGTCACCACCCTTGGGGACAAGGGGAGGTCCGGTGTCTGGACGCCCCCTCTCTGCCAATCAGAGAGTGGCAAGTGTTTGCAGATGCCCTTTAAATGGAGATTAAGTGGTCACATAAAGCTCTCTACCCTAGCAAAAGTTGGGATATATGAGCCCAGACAGAATGGATTTTTAGGAGTTTTATAATTGGTCCAGCCTCAGACTTATGGGTCAGAAGATGAGACTAACACCTTCATTTTGGCACTGACGCCTTCTCAGGAAACAAGTGAACTTTATAGGTATGTATCTGCTTAAGAGTCATCCATGGCCCATACAATTGAGATAAGTGGACAGCCCGTAGTTTGACTCAGCGCTAGAAAACAGTGAGGCTGGGTGGAGCCACTCTCTAAATGTCAGGTCTTTATGATGTTTGTGGTGTCCAGGGGCTCACCTCAGCAGCGCACGAGGCCGATGGTGTGTGCGCACCACAGTCCACGGTGATGCAGGAAGGTGGAGTTGAAAGATCACAGCCCTTGGAGTTGGCCAAGTTGGCATCTGGGCCCATCCAGCTACTTTGTAGTTAGACTTCAGCTATTTCTTTCTAAACCTTATGAACGTCAGTTTCCTCATGTTGAAAATGATTTTAAAAAAATGGTATCCATTTCTTAGGGTTGATATAAGATTTGTAGTAGCATGTATTAAGTGTTTTATATAGTGAGATGCTTAATAAATACTGAGAAGTTCCTTTTTATGAGGCGTATCCCCAGTCATGGGCAACTCATCATCATCTGATTATGATTATTTTTTTTTATTGTAGACTCTTCCCAAAATCCTTGATAAGCTAGCACCAGCCTTCACGATGAGCAGCTGCAGCTTCCTTGTGGAGAAATCGCGTGCCTCCACCGCCCGGGTCGTGGTGTGGAGAGAGATGGGCGTGTCCAGGAGCTACACCATGGAGAGCAGCTACTGTGGCTGTAACCAGGGCCCCTACCAGGTACGTGAGGCTGGGGGATCCCCAGGCTTTCTGTGCACTGTCGGAGGGGAGCTCCCTGGCCCTGCGCCCTGACCTTGCAGAAGAACTGGTTTGGTGACTGCCTTCACAGGCAGCACTACCTATGTTGGTCCTGGAAGCCATTCGTGCATGCCTGCTGATTGGGTTTGTCAATCACCTGCCCTTGCCAGCAAGGGGCAGGGAGCCTTGCGCAGACATCCAGCCCCAACTTTTATGGGGCCTCGGCCTGGCCCTGCTGTGTGCCCGGGAACACTTTACAACAAGGAGACAGACTGGTCCCGCCTGCATCATAAAAAGTGCAGGTCGGTGCATAGATGCATTCAGTGCATGTGTGTTATGTTGCCCTGTCTTCTGGACTTATCTCATTCGGCAGCTCTCTGTATCCTGCTGTCACCAGGGCACACAGCAGGTATGTGCATGACGCCGGTCTCCCCGAGATGGGCGGCTCCAGGACTCATGCTCTAGTGTTGAGGGAAAAGGCTCGTATAAATCACCTTCTTCCTACAGCTCTATTAAAACTGCACGAGCAGCTGGAGAGCTGCTGCACCGGGCTGTCCTAGCTGTTCTCACTCCCTGCTAGAGAAGCATGAATAAGAGACGTTGTGACAGCGCCGGAGTAATAGACCCTTTTGAATTTGTTAGGCAAACAGACCCACTCCTCCTCCTGGACTTCAACCCCAAGAGTACCTGGATTTCACCAGCATTAAAGCTTATTGTGTTGGCTTTGATAGCATCCAGGAAACTCTTGGCATCGACGCAGCCCTGTGCTTAGAAATCCACTCGCTCTCACAGGGAGTGACAGGGGATGAGCAGGACCTAACTTCCCATCTGAGTTTTCTCCACACTGGGCTACCGAACCGCCATGTTGACCCATTCATTCTGTTAGCCAGTTAGTTCATCTGAATAGTTGCTTGAAAGAATCGTTTTGTTACTGAATTAGTAAACTATTCGACCTCATTCGTCTTTATTTACCCACATTAATGTCCATGCAGAATGAGAAGGATGAGGTCATTGGTCGGGCATGGAATTGCGCGTCAAGAGACCTCACCCTTCCAGTTGCCTGCAGAGCTGCAAGCGACTTACCTCTATGAACCTGTAAGGTTCATATATCAAATGCAGGTAGTAATAAGGACTCCTGTCTCCCCTACTACACAAGAGTCATGTAAAGGTCAAAAGAGAGTGTGCGTGTGAATGTCCTTGGCAGTTAAATAACCAGGAATCTGTTCCGTCTCTTGACAATCAACACCCATCACATTGGAAAAACTAAGCCTGGACTATTGAGACTTTGAGACCTTAGTGATATAGACTTGTGCCTCTCTAGCTGTTTGCCTCTTGAGGAAAGGGGCCTGTTTTACTTGTTTAAAAGACAACTCCGTGTCACTGTCACAGATTTATTGGGTGGGTGGCTTTTACTGACTTTGTTTCTCCAAGTGCCAATTCAGGCTCCCAGCTTCCAGTCACATAAGTGTCAATGTCATTCGTGATCAGTCACCTGGAAATTCAAAGCCCTTTGCATGTGTTGTTTGAAAACTAAAGGATTCATAGGTTCAGGGCTTCACCAAGTCTCCGTCTTCTGTACACAGTGGCTGTTGCCGAGGACAAAGCATAAAAGAGGTTTGCCCAATGGGACGGCTTTCAGGTACAGGCTCAGCATTTGCCCTGGGAAATTTTCCACATGGCCTTTGCGTGGGGTCTCTGTCAGAAAGAATGGAGAAGGAACTGGCTAGATGCTAGAGGAATCCCTCTCAGTGCCAAAAGCCAGTGCCTGGCTTTTCCTTAATCCCATTCCCTGTAGGAAACTCCTCTCCAGATGGATTTGTGTTCTCCTTCCCTTTTGTTTTTCTGTCCTTCCAAACGTTGGGGAGTAACAAGCAGAACTACAGACACTGAACAAAAGGATACTGAGTAGTTTTACATATGAGTGTGTGTGTGAGTGTGTGTGTGTGTGTGTGTGTGTGAGTGTGTGTGTGTGTGTGTGTGTGTGTAGGAGGGGAAGCCAGCCCCGAGTTGGGTGTTTCGGTGATTTTTGTTTGAGATACATAATGAAGCCCATGAGCTATAAAGCAGGAGAGAAATTTCCATCCTGAACATATTGCAAATGACTTTTGTACATTGAGAAGCTGAGTCCCACTTGGGTCCTGAGGTTATTATTCTAAGGTCATCTTTCCATTCTTTGTTTAGCATTGCCATTTATCCAAAAGATGGAGGATACTTAAAGACACCCACGAGGGGCATTCCTCCCTTCCTTCATAAGAATATAAATATTTTCACAGTTTCTCTGGTTAATGCAGCTTTAAAGGAGTTCCAATCATTTCTCCCCCAGCACACTCAGGGCCTGATGTGTTAGTATTGAAATGAAATATCATTTCTTACGGTGACATTTATGTTGGAACTGCATTAGAGAACATAAGCTGTTACCTTCAAATAATTATTATTAATGTGATATTTTATATTTTCCAGTCTATAGTTGGCTAATTTAAAAAAAAGTCCCTGCTTTTGTTTTTTGGGGATAAAGTCTCATTTGTATTTAGTGTGGAAGTTCTATCCGCCGAAAGATGTACTTTAGTTACTAGGGACTGACCCGAAGCTATGGAGGCTTTTGAGGGGGGAAAGCCAAAACGCAATGATGGATCTTTTGGGAGATCATTTTTGAGAGGTGTCCAGTCCACGAGGACAGCTGCGTGCCTCATACCGAGTGCTCGTGACCTGAGGTCACATAGATGTGTGTTTGCACATACAAAGGCATGTGACCCTTTGGGAGAATAACGTGAGTTATTCCCACCCAAGCAGGTGTCAACATGCTCCCTGGCAATTGACTTGCGGGATAGCAGAGTGGGTCTTGCAGGAAGGACGGAGGTGGGTGACTCAGCTGAGGTCTGCAGAGTGACTCAACGGCTGTTTAAATTCCCGACCTGCAAACTGCCCCCCTCCTATTGTGGATCCTTCAGCAGTCCATTTTTCCCACCACCAATAGAGGGACCTTTCCCTAACCCAAACCTAGTCAAGTCACAGAACCACCTATAATGTCTTCATTATGTCTAGCGCCTTATCATGAGCACAAGACCTTTTATAAACTCATTTTTTTTTATACTCAGTGCGTAGTTTGGTATAAAGGAAGTGTGACAAATGTGCGATGACTGATGAATGAATGAATAAGTGAACAAAGGAACGAATGGTGATTCCCAGGCAGAGTCTGTTGGTTATTCTCTCTGTCCGTGGATAACCAGAAAAGGAGAAGTCGCCATGGCCCACATGGGATTAGAAGCCATTCTCAAATGGAGCTCTCAAGGGTCGTTGTGATGGGTGGATGGGGACAAGGCGAGGGTCAGAGAGGAAAATGCCTAAGGATGCAATGCGGAGATCTTTCAGACTTGTCAGTATAGACGGGATTTGAGAGCATCGAATGGATTCTTTTCCCGAGTAAGGCGATTTCAGCCCGGGTGCGGAATGTCACTTGGGCGCATTCTAATCACAGGTGACGATTAGACAGAGAGGCTTCCACCTGCACACGTGGCGGACATTGCAGTGCACCTTCTAGATTCCTCTTTAGGGCCCAGGCGCTCATACCCGTGTCCATCACCGGAAATGCCGGTAGCTGATGAAAGCGGCCGTGATCAAAGCTGTGGCTTGTACATGCCAGGGGCCTGCATGCAGTGTCAGGTCTCCGTGGGGGTACAAAGGCTTGGCTCCCCAGCCTCGATTGGGAAACCCCAAAAGGCTGTTCCAGCGCCAGGGCTCCCTGTAGGATTGGCTGGGGCCTCTGTTGCAATTGCATTGCAATCCCGTGTCCTCCGCTGCACAGTTCTGTGTCCCTCGCCACTCACAGCTGTTCCTGTAAGCGCTCCCCCAAAATCCTTCTACAGAGCAAAGTATAGCTCAAAAATACTTCAAAACATACTTTTCAAAAAGGCCTAGATTAGATTAGGAAAGTTTAAATGTTGGAACGAAGCACTTCAGCTATTTGAAGATGGCTTGATAGGGGTGAGTTTTGTAGAAGAAGTTTAAATGATCTGAATTGGGCTTTCAAGGCTCCCAGCATCCTCTCCTTCACACTGTGCTCACCTGAGTGTTTAGGGATGGAGGCGTCTACAGAGAATTAGAGACGGCAGCTGGGTGTAGGTGCCATCACAAATGACCACCAACTAGGTGGCTTAAAACAGCACACATGTATTCTCTCCTACCTCTGGAGGCTGGGAAGGTCTTGGCAGTGCTGTGCTCTCTCTCACGCCTCTCTCTTAGCTTCTGGCGGGACAGGAAATGCTGGTGTTCCTCGGCTTATAGATGTATCACGCCATTCTCTTCCTGTGCTATCACGGGGCCTTCCGCTTCTGTGTGTCCCCTCCCCTTCTTATAAGGACCCCAGACACACTTGGATTAGGGACCCACCCTGCTCCAGTATGACATCATCTTAACTAACTACATCTGCAATGACCGACCCTGTTTTCAAATAAGGTCACATGCTGAGGTACTGGAAAGGACGTGAATTTTGGGGGAGATACTGTGCAACCTAGTGCAGTGGGTTTGGCATGAAGGTACAGAATATATAGGCCCAAGAACCAAAAAGAGTTTTGTTTTGTTTTGCTTTCTGTCTTCATATTGCCATGCAGTGAAGCCCCAAACATTATAACAGGTCATGTTTTCTCTTCATCTCACAATCATGAAAATGAAAGGTTTTTTGATTTTTTTTTTAGAACATCTGTGCTTTTAGGTAGTTGACTTTATATTTTAAGAATGGTCCAATATCCCAGTGACTGTTGAAAGATGTTTTTATTTGTTTGCTTGTTTCTAGCTCCTGGGGACCTCAAGGTCACGATATCCTGTAGAACAAAAGAGTCTAAGAACAGATATAATTATATACAAAATTGTTTGCCTATGTGTACAGTTCTCTAGGGGAGAGCATCTACCATTTTTGAGATATTCTTGAAAGGATGGAAGACACCCCCCCCAAAAAAAGATTAAGATCTTCTGCCTTTGTTTATTGA